TTGAAAGGTTTAACATTTTAAATCATTTCAAAACAATAACACTATTGTTATGTCGAGTATACGCAGCTTCCGAGCAAAGAGCTGCGTTAAATAGCAGCTATTTATATATCTTTTTAGCAATAGCTGATAAAGATAGCTAGCTAGCAACATTGTATGCTTTCACCTGATGATCTTTGATTGATTTCGCTCGATTTTCCAGGTTTATAAAATTGAATAGAAAAGCGTGTTTCGTAGTTCCCAATATAGCCTTCAAACTCGAACTCTATCCCTCCTATCGATTTTGCACGAAGTTTTCGTACGAAATCGGGAATCATGTTGCTAGAGAACATGTTCCTAGAAACTGTTTCGTCCGTTTCGCCACTTGAAGCATCTCTTTTTGAGAATGATTCATGTTGGCTAAGGGGACATTCCTGAGCCAATATGAACATAATTGAACTTAAACAAAAAAAGCACAGTAGAATAAAAGAACTCATTATAACGTTTATAATTGAAAAATTGAATCCTATTCGATGAAAGTTTATTCATATAATAATTTGATATATTCGTTCAACACATTTTTTTAGCTTATATTTCATCAATAAAATACACAATAACTACAAACACATCAATTTTGAAACGAATGGAAATGTGCAAACTATACAGTTTTAGTTAGTATTGTACGAATATTTTCTACCAAAGTCCAATTGATTCAACATGTTGAATAAAAAAAACCATAGCATTATAAAAACAAACTGTCTATCAAACGTAAAAACTTATTTGAAATAACTCAATTGAGTGAAAAAATTAAGAATACTAATGATGATGAATAAAAAGCGTGAAAGTGTGCAATGTGTTGAAGCGGCCTCCTGTTGTTTCGATAAATAGAGCAGATTGGATCTGCGATATTTTGCAGCCACTTCCATCCATTGGTCGTAAAGGGACACACTAGGGGACACATGTATATCTGGTTCTTGGACACAGAAAGAAGAATGAAAGACAGGGATTTTCATTATTTTCCAAAGGTGTGAGTACGTACTCAAAATGAAAAGATGTACGTCTTTCGAGGTGTAACGATGTTTAATATGTATGATATATAATATTTGATAAAGTAGACGGAATGCATTTTTTACCTGTTAAATCATTTGTTTGAACCAATTTCCCACATACTGGATATTTTCCACATTCACTGCCTTCTATTTGAAAATGCAAACATTCGTCTTGGACAATGATACACACTTCACATGGTAAGCATCTAATATCCTTGCATGTACGTCCATATTCTATAAAAGAAAACGTGAACGAAAAATTATAAAATGGGTAACAGCAACGAACACTCTTGCTATCATTCAATTTTCCACACACTTGACCAGCTGAGTGTATCCGCCAAACATATTATGAACAGTAAAAAAAATACAGTTTGTGCGATCGACATTATGATGAAAATTCTATGAATACAAAAAATATAAAAAAATACGGAATGAAT